GAATAAACGTAAATGGACATGTACACACAATCACACTCCCCAAACATACTCTATACCCCGGGTCCAGGTACCCTCACCCCCAGAGATGGAAACGGCACCCAGACCCAAGAGATGTCAGCACAACTTTCACATCATATTCATCTCAGCACAACTAAAACATGGTGACTGACCTCAGAGTTTCAAGTACACATCCTGGACTCTCCAGAAAACCACACAGTTGCTTCACTCCTGAATCCTGCAGCTTGTCATTGTCACACAGGTCCAGCTCTCTTAGATGGGAAGGGTTGGACTTGAGCGCTGCTGCCAGATAATCACAGCTGATCTTTGACAAACCATAGCTCCTCAATCTGTATAAAGAATGAAAAATGTAAGATTATTAGACAAAGTATGTGCTTTGTCTAATAACTTGTACAAGTTATTTGTCTAATAACTTGTGCAACTTTTTTGTATTTACAGTTTTGTCTCAAATTAAATTTCTCTAACTAGCAATATATGTAAAAAAACCCCAAAAAAAACAAAAAACAAATTGATTTTCAAATTTTTTTTTTAGTTTATTGAACTTTTTTGCAATTTATGTCGTTACTATGGACTTAATGCATACATAATGCATTAAAATTTGGGCTATAATGGTTGTATTCATGTATAGCAACTTGAAATGCTCCAAAAAATGGCACTGCAGCATGTAAAAATATAAAGATAAGCTTAGGGGGACGTGGTTCTCTGGTAGGTCTTAAAGGGTTTAGCGTAGCATGTTTTTATGGCTCTGCAATATTGATAACATCTTGGAGAAGATGTCTCCCCAATGTGATGTTTGTGTATTGCATGTACAGTTGGCAAGGTCTGTCATCTTAGTTGTGGGCAACTGCAACTGACAAATAAAGGCTATCTCATCATCATCTTAATGTCACTGTTGACTCTATTTGGCAGATCCAGGTCACTAAGATGTGATCTGTCATGTCCAATCAGCTTTGAGGTGGCTGGAGCCACACAGGACAGAGGCTTTCTGCAGCATGTGATCAAAGTAATCAGTGGTTTACTTGATTACTGTGCTCCATTGAAAAGGGCTGCATGTGTACGCAGACCATAGGTTGAGTATCACTGTTTGAAATGTGAACATTCTTCTACAACAGACTTTACCATGAACATCCTCAGTGTGGATCAGTATAATATCAGCCTTATGTCTATATTTAGTGTCTGCACAATTTTTACATCATATTTATCTCAGCACAACTAAAACATGGTGACTGACCTCAGAGTTTCAAGTCCACATGCTGGACTCTCCAGAAAACCACACAGCTGCTTCACTCCTGAATCCTGCAGCTTGTCGTTGTCACTCAGGTCCAGCTCTCTTAGATGGGAGGGGTTGGACTTGAGCGCTGCTGCCAGATAATTACAGCTCATCTCTGACAAACCACAGCTGTCCAATCTGTATAAAGAATGAAAGATGGAAGTTTATTATTATTATTATGCACTGGCTCCCTATTAAATTTCGTATTGTTTTTAAAATCTTATTTTTCACTTTTAAAATCATAAATAACACCGCGCCCAGCTATCTTAGGGATCTCTTCAGCTTTTATACCCCTGGGAGAGCGCTTAGATCAGCTAGCCAAATGCTCCTGGTGCGACCTAGATCTCGGCTCCAGACCAGAGGTGACCGTGCATTCGCCGCTGTCGCACCCTACCTCTGGAATAACCTCCCTCTAGCTATTCGGGCATCTGATTCAATTCAATCTTTTAAATCTCAATTAAAAACGTATTTGTTTAGCCTTACTTTCGCTGCCTCCTAGAGCCCGCATTTGTACTGTACGTTATGTTTTTCGCTTTATTAATGTTTATAATGTTTTAACCTTCAGCCTTTCGGGTTGTGCCTACTATGCCTGGTGTATTATTGGTTAGTTATGTCACCTGCCTGTTAGTATATTTTATTTGCATTTTGTGTTTTGTATTTGTATTTATTATTGCTCTTAACTCGTTCTGTGAAGCACTTTGGTATACCTGTGGGTTTTTTTAAATGTGCTATATAAATAAATTTGTAATTGTCATTGTATTTATTAGACAAAGTGTGTGCTTGAAATCATTCAGAGTTTCATTATCTGTTCAGAGCTGAAGAAGGTTCAGAATGTAGAAGTTTAGTAAATGGAAACTCCAAACAGCTGAAGTCAACAGGAAGCAGCTTCCAACAAACACAACAAGAGAAAAAAAACTGAATTTTTCACATTAAAGTCATACATTTATCATAAAAACCTGAAAAAATGTCAAGTTTCATTCTGTGAAATCAAAAAAACTGAACAAGAAACATCCAGGTCCAAAACTGAAAAAATTACCAGCTTAGGAGGCCGACAGTGGGACTTTGGTGAAGGCTCTACACTAAAGCACGTAAAAAAGCCGAAGTGTGAAGCTGAAACTGTAAAGCTCTGAGTGAAATAGCTCCAGTGTCTTTCACGTCACAAGAAAATTTCTTATTTCCACGCTGATGAAAGCATCATGCTTTTTTGTCCTGCTGCTTTTATTGAGTCACACTATGAAACTGTGCTGAGCCACAGCTGAACCAGCATCGCTGTACAGCAGACATTTATAGCACTTGGCTGCTTCCATTGAACTCTCTGTAAGGACTTTCAGTTTCCTCTTCTAGTCCCTAAGTGCAGAACAACAAGGTTTCAAATAACTTCGCTCTAGCAGCATCAGCCACAGAAATGCAGAGAAAATGCTTTGGATCTCTTCGTTGTGTTGTATGATGCTGTGTTTCCATATCTGGTGTCTATGTTGCTTTGTGAGGATGGATTACTAATCTAATGCAGCTCCTGATAAACAAGCTGGACCTGAACCTGGGAGTTTCACTTAGAAAAAACTTGTGAGGGGAACGTGTGAGAAGTTTTGTGCAGACAAGTGTGGATTTAGAGTCTGGGACGAGCTCTCCACAGCCTTTGTGGAGATCCACATTCTGTATACTGCCCGTGAGAAGCTGGAGACATGTCTCTTCCAAATCCACTAAGCAGCTGCTCGTGGTGGTGTTAGCTTCATGCACAGCTGGTTATTGTACTGGGAATGTTCTGCAGACGAGTGCAAGCAGTCAGCAGCATTCATTACAAACATGGAGGAAAAAAGAAGAAGAGCATGAGGAACTCAGATAGAGGCAGCAGTGGACACTTTTCATTGTTTTAATGCTCGCTTTCACTTTATCTTTACCAACAACAGCACAAGCAGAGCAGTCTACTGACTGCATGACTGTGACAGCACCCCCTAGTAACTGTAATCCACTACAACATGTAGATGGCCGTCTGCTGCTTATCCTGTTTTCCACTGTCATTGGTTCTTTTGTGCTTGCTTTTAGAATAGCAGTCATTCTGATTGTTAAAAGAAGGCAATCAGCTATGATAAATGTAGCTCCTAAAGCAGTGCTGGTAATAACTACTGAAGCAAATCCAGTATCAAAGCTCAGGGCCATCTGACCTCAGGAATTCGCATGATAAGGTGGGGCCAGGTTTCACAATGAGCTCACCCGATACCCTGG